CCAGACCTGAGAGAATGACCCCCTGTTGTTTCACCCACTCAGTCTGCAGCGCTTTGTTACGGAGGCCCCAGAAAAGTAACACACCCGGTGTAAGGAGCCCTGGGACAGGCAAGAACATTTGCTGGGCGTCTCCAGTGGGAAACGACGTGTTCCTTGGCGCGCGCCCATCTGGGCTGCTGATTCCAGCCCTTCACTGCCTTTGAGCTGCTTCACAGGCTGAGCCGCAGACAGTGGGTGATGATGGTGTCCATCTGTGTCTATGCGATGGAGGGACAGCTCGCACCCCACGGCCCCCAAATCCTCCTACCAAAGCCAGTTCTGAACAGTTTCCAAGTTCACCCTGATATTTCTGCCTAGATATGTGTCTGTTCTTGGCGTTTTCCTTTGAACTGGCTGTAACTTCTTCCAAGTTCCCTCATTCTATTTTTTTTGAAATGTCACTCACTTTATTCATCTTACTTGGTTGAACCTTTATTCCCAAAGAGTCATTTATTAACCTCAGGTCAGTTTTAATAAAATAGTTTGCATTTCTATAGTATTTATTTCTAGGATTGCATTTTAAATTCCTTTTTTTTAAATTGAAGCGTAGTTGATTTACAATGTTAGTTTCAGGTATAGAGCAAAGTGATTCAGTTATACATATAGATATAATTTTGCAGATTCTTTTCCACTACAGAACATTACAAAAAATTGAATAGAGTTCCCTGTGCTGTATGGTAAGTCCTTGTTGTTTATCTATTTTATATACAGTAGAGTGTATCTGTTAATCCCAAACTCCTATCCCTTCCCCCTTCTTTCTCCATTGGTAACCACAGTTTTTTTTCTGTCTGTGAGTCTATTTCTTGTTTGTAAATAAAATTTTCATTTTTTAGATTCCACGTAAAAGCAGCATCTTATGATATTTGTCTTTCTCTGTTTGACTTACTCAGTATGATCATCTCTAGGTCTATCCATGTTGCTGCAAATAGCATTATTTCATTGTTTTTAACGGCTGAGTAGTATTCCACCATGCATGTTACCACATCTTCTTCATCTTGACGGACATTTACATTGCTTCCATGTCTTGGCTGTTGTAAATAGTGCTCCTTCCCTCATTCTATTAATGTACTCAGGAAGACATTTGCCACCTGTTGATTGTATGTCTGCCTGAGAGTCATGATTCTTTCTTTGGCCAACATTATTATTATTTTTTTAATTGAAGTATAGTTGATTTACAGTGTGTTTATTTCTGGTGTACAACATAGTGTTCAGTTATATATATATATATATTTTTCCTTTTCATATTCTTTTTCATTATAGGCTATTAAAAGCTATTGACTATATTTCCCTTGCTATACAGTAGGACCTTGTTATTTATCTATTTTATATATAGTAATTAGTATTTGCAAATCCTGAACTCCCAATTTATCCCTCCCCAACCCCCTCCCCCTGGTAACCATAAGTTTGTTTTCTATGTCTGTGAGTCTGTCTCTGTTTTGTAAATAAGTTCATTTGTATCCTTTTTTAAGATTTCCCATAAAAGTGCTATCATATGGTATTGTTCTTTCTATTTCTGGCCGAATTTTACTTCAGAATGATGATCTCCAGGTCCATCCACTGTTGCACAAACCTGGCGTAACCAATATGGTTTCTAACAATTGGTCCTGCCATTCCCTGCT